GTGAGAGAGTTAACAACTGACCACCAATGATGGCGCCAGGAGCTTCTTAAGGAAGCAGTACAGCGACAAGCCCCCGTCGGACGAGGAGATCCTGGGCCTGCTGGGCACCCACGTCGAGTCCTTCATCAGCCTCTCGGCCCACGTCAACCGGGCCTACCTCAACGCCCTCTTCCGCCAGGAGGTACACCATGTTGCCCCCCCCCTTTAGCTCCGAACCTTAAAAGACTCACTGTGCGCGCGTGCGGTCGTGCGTGTGCGTGTGCGTGTGCGGTGGGTGCGTGTGCGACGCAGGCGTGGGACGCGTTCTATATTCTGGCGACGGAGCTGGCCCACAAGGCGAAGGGCTTCGAGTTCGAGACCTACGTGAACAACTTCATGCGGGACGTGGTGTTCCCGGCGTTCAGCAACTACCTCGACAGCTGCCTGGAGCCCAAGGCGAAGCTCCCCGCGAAGCGGGAGTGCATCAAGAAGATCGCGAGCTTCGACCTCAACATCACCCTCGGCGCGGACATCTCCTATCTCACGCAGCTTCTGCCCTCCGTTGTCAAGTGCGTTCTCAACACATGACACACGACGCACACGACGCACATCACGACACACACGCACGACACAACACGACACACAACGCTGATGTGAGCAACGACAGGAACGTGTGGAAGAGCATCAGGAAGGACATCGAGAAGGCCAACCGAAAGGAGGCGGACAAGAAGAAAGCTGTCGCGTACGGGTCCCAAGCAAAAGAGACTCCGCCGCCCGTGCGTGCTTGTCTGACTTTGACTTTGTGATGTGTTTGGGGGGTTGAGCGACAGATTCGCCAAGAACATGCTGGCGGACTTGGAGGACATCATGGCGGGCAAGAGCTTCAAGACCGACGCCATCGAGTACGAAGTCAAGAAGGTCACCGACGGCCTCGTTGACTTCATCTCTCAATAAGTTTCGCTCATATATAAATACGTTGTTGTTTGATGTATTGAGACTGAATTGAATGCACAACAGTAGTGTAAGAGAAGAAAGGGAAGAGTAAAGTGAAGAAGAAGAAGAAGAAGCGCGCTGCTTAGTCGACCTCCTCCATCCTGGAGCCCTCATCAGCAGCGCTGGCTTCCTCGCTCTCGAGCGGCGGGAGGTCGTCGTCGCCCATGACGCGGTCGCTCTCGGTGTCCTCGATGCTGAGGCCCAGCTTGATCATGCGGTGGATGCGCTGGGCGAAGCCGCCCGGCTCCTCGAGCGAGAAGCCCGACGCGAGCAGGGCCGTGTCGAACAGGAGCCACACGAGGTCCTTCACGGTCTTGTCGTTCTTGTCGGCGTCGGCCTTCTTCCTGAGCTCGGTCACGATCGCGTGGTCGGGGTTGATCTCCAGCGTCTTCTTCGAGACCATGTAGGTCGCGCAGGGCCTGGGCGCGCATGATCCGCTCCATGTTGGCCGACCACCCGAACTCGCCCGTCACCAGCACGCACGGCGAGTCCACCAGCCTGTTCGAGATCACCACCTACATCATCACCATCACCATGTCATCAGTATCAAGTAGCACAATGTTACAATGTAGAATGTAGAATGTAAAAAATAATGTAAAATATGTTGAACGTAGAGAGTAGGAGTGTAGAGACGGTACCTTCTCGACCTTGTCGCCGAGGATGTCCTTGACGACCTTGCACAGGTTCTCGTTGGCCTTCTTGGTCTCCTCGGCCTTCTTCTTCTCCTCCTCGGTCTCGTCGAGCTTGAGGCCCTCCTTGGTGATGTTGACCAGCTTCTTGCCGTCGTACTCCTTGAGCTGCTGCACCATGTACTCGTCGATGGGATCCACCATGAACAGCACCTCGTAGCCCTTCCTCTTGAGGCCCTCCACGAACGGCGCGCTCTCGACCGCCTTCTTGGTCTCGCCCGTGATGAAGTAGATCTCCTTCTGGTTCTCCTTCATCCGCGTCACGTAGTCCTTGAACGACGTCATCTCCGCGCCCGACTTCGTCGAATGGAACCTCAGCAGCTCCGCCAGCTTCGTCCTGCGTGTGTCGTGTCGTGTCGTGTCGTGTCGTGTCGTGTGAGTTACATGCGTGTCGTGTCGTGTCGTGTGCGGTGTAGTGCGTACCGGTTGGTCGAGTCCTCGTGGATGCCGTACTTGATGTTCTTGCCGAAGGCCTCGTAGAACTTGTCAAAGTCCTCTTTCTTCTCGGCGATCTCGTTGAAGAGCTCGATGCACTTCTTGACCAGGTTCTTCCGGATGACGCGCAGGATCTTGTTCTGCTGGAGCATCTCGCGCGAGATGTTGAGCGGCAGGTCCTCCGAGTCGACGATGCCGCGCACGAAGTTGAGCCACTCGGGCACGAGCTCCTCGCAGTCGTCGGTGATGAAGACCCGGCGCACGTAGAGCTTGACGTTGGCCCGCTTCTTGCGGGTCTCGAACAGGTCGAACGGCGGGCGCTTGGGCACGAACACGATCGACTTGAACTCGAGCTGGCCCTCGACCGAGAAGTGCTTCACCGCGAGGTAGTCCTCCCAGTCGTTGGTCAGGTTCTGTAGAACTGCTTGTAGTCGTCC